ATTGGGGAAAAACATGTTTTATAACATCCGTGTAGTGAAGGTAGCAGTTGGTGTTTCAACAGGGAAGCTTCAGGGAGCTGCTGGGTGCTTCCTCATGTACGATCTGGGGGCCTCAACTGCTTTGATAGTGGTAATGAGAACAGTGACATAAATAACTTTTAATGAAAAAGAATATGAAAACAAATATATGTATATATATATGCATGACTGGGACATTGTGCTGTACACCAGAAACTGACACATTGTAACTGACTATACTTCAATTAAAAAAATAATAGTGACATAAACATAGCAACAATAGCTGGTAACATCATATGTGCCAAAGAGATTGCAAACACATTACTCACATATCTGGCCTCAGTCCTGCGATATCCCAGGAACTCTATTATAATTTTTTAATAAATTTTTATTTATTTATGTTTGTTTTGTACTCTCAGGCTTTGAGGAGCCAAAACCTTTCTGTTCTCTTCCCAGAATTATGTTTTCCTCTTTATGAAACTCCCTGAGCCCCCTGTTTTAAGTAAGAGTGATTAGTGCACACAACTGACTTTTAGAATCATTAGAGCTAGAGACTATTAGAGCTGGCAGGGCCTTAACGTCATCTAATTCAGTGATCTTTGTTTATGAACTTTGATTTGCATGTGCAATGCCCGAAGACATTCTCGTAGTTAAATGCAAACAATGTAGATGAAACTGAAGTCACCTCATCAACCTCTTATCCTCTTGTGTTCTCAGAGATAACCCTGGTGCCAGTTTAGTGTAAATTACTTTTCAGACCTTTTCAAGTTTATTTGTTTATTTATTCATTCATTCATTCATTCATTTATGTTGAAGTATAATTGATTTACTGTATTATATTAGTTTCAAGTGTCTAACAGTGATTTAGTATTTTTATAGATAATACTCCATTTATGTCATTATAAAATATTGGCTATATTACCGGTGCTGTATAATTTTCAGACCTTTTAAAATGCATTTATATATAAATGTACATTTATGCATGTATCTGCAGACACACACATCCTTAGAAATCCGTAGTATTGATTTGTAGGTTTCCTCACCAGTAAATGGTGTTATATTGTTTGCATTGTTCAGCACCTTGCTTTTTCCCTCTAAACAGTAAGTCTTAGAGATTGCCCGTGTCAGCACCTTCATCTTTTTCATGGCTGCATATGAGTCCGCCAAATGTACAGGATCATCCCCATGTGGATGGGCAGGTTGTTTGCAGGGCTTGCCTGTTACATAGCATGAGTACCGACCATCTTTGGGCTGGCTCACCTGGGCACACCTGGGTAGGTGATTGGAATGGCTGGGTTAGAAGTCAGAGAAGAAGGTTCATAACCACTGGCTAAACCCTCATGCATAATCAGATGGCCCTCGAAGGTGTACCTGCCTCCACTGTTCTCAGTGTCTGAGAGCACTCACTTCCCAGGCCTCAGTCAGCACCAGCTCTTCCTAACCTGATGGGTGAAATAGTACCAGTGATTTCCTCAGAGGAGGCTGTTCCCCTGTAATGAGCACTGTGGCCTCAGTGACCCACTGTTTCTAGTGGGAGCATCTCTAATCCAGGTACAGGGACAGAAAAGAGTCCACTGGTAGTCAAAACATTCTTCACTGCCTTCTGTAAACAAGGAAATGGAGTTTCCCACAGTTGGTCAGCGGTGGGCCAGAAGCAGAGTTGAGGGAACTGAATCTTTGTACAGGACTTTTTATACTGTGCTTAAAAAAAAGTCAGTTGCCCATGCACAGGGTTATGCAGGGGTGGCATAGCTCAAGATAGCTCAAGTGGTAGAGCACATGTTCAGCGTGCATGAGGTCCTGGTTCAACCTCCATTTAAAAAAATAATTAAATAAATAAACCCAATTACCTACCCCCCACCCAAATCAACAAGCAAAAAAGTCAGTTGCATTAAACCTGCCTGTTGCCAGTAAGGTGTGGCTTGATTCCTCTCTGGGTTTTGGAAAAAAAGGTAATTTTGACGCTGTGAAATTACACGCCCTCTAATTCTGAAATAGTTTTTTCCTTGACTGTTTTTTTGGTTGATGCCACAGCATCCAACTGGGAGGTAATTTCTGTTAATAATCCTCGTCGAATGAGAGGCCCTGTCTTTGGTGGCATATGGAGCGGCTTAGTCACTGGCTGATGGAGGTGCAGTTAGAAAGCTGTGTGTCTCATGCAGAGGACTGGACACCTGTACAAACACGTTCAGAAGGGCTGCCTGCTAATTGTTCAGAACTCTGCTGGCTCCTTGACAGATGGGAGATCAGACAGCCGCCATTTACAGCAGCTGAAGTTTAAGAGGGGACTGTGGCATTTTTTTGAAATCCAGAAATCCAGACTGTTTTACTTGTAAACATGTCTGCTGCCGGGTTATTTATAACAAGGAAAAATCAGTGACAAGCTCAAAGTCTCGCTGTGGAGAACACAGGTGAACGGTTAAGTCAATAGTGATAAACCCATGCAGTGGGTTATTACACAGCTGTTACAGCTAACTTGTAAATTCATGATGGAATGTTTGTGTCAGAAAATTTAAGTGATCTATTCTCTGTTTCTTGGAGTGTAACCTAGGGGGTTCTTTTTGGAGGTGAACTCCAAATTTCTTAATTTTAAATGTAATCCAGCAGTTACATTTCCAAGAAATATGTCCTGCTGAGATGTTGCACAAGCGCACAGAGATTTAGATACAAGGATGTTCCCTTCAGCACTGTTTATACTAGGAATCATTGGAGAGAAGCCAAATAGCCATCCCCTGAGGTCTGAGAAACACCTTAAGGCGCATTCATACAATTATATATCCTGCAGTGATGGAAGGAAGGGAAATGAGGTCAACCCAGCCTATCTGTGCGTGTGACATGAAAAGACTGGGTCCAAGATCCCGTATTAAGTGGAGAAAAGTAAGATACAGAACAGAACGTGCAGTCCTGTCCCAGTGCTCTTAAATCTGTGTGTGTGTTGGCAAATGCGTAGGAGAGAACTTGCAGAATATCTGTATCAACTGTCAGCTGTGGTTTTCAGAGGAATGGGGGTTAGAAAGGACTTCGGCTTTCTAATTCCGAATTCTGTGTTGCTTGTATTTTTCTTATAATAAACAGATCAGACATTTGGAATCAGGGGTAAAAATCAAGATCCCTAAATAAAGAACCAAGTCCCATTGACCGACTCTCCTGGAAGTCTGTGAATGATATTTGCAGTGTGATTCCGGTTTTATTTAAAAGTGCACGTTAAGGATCTGGAAAAGAACTGGTCCCTAAAGCATCGATGATAGTTGCTCTGGGTGGACAGCATGTGGTGGATTTTAATCTTCTTTGTCTTCTGTATTTGCCAAGCATTTTCATTAAGCATGAATTAGCTTCCAAATAGGAAGGAAAAAAATTACAGGCTTCAGTTTTAGACTTTGCAGAGGTTAGAAAGCCCCAGCAAGGGAGCCCCGGGCTGTGTGTGTGTGTGTGTGTGTGTGTGTGTGTGTGTGTGTGTGTGTGTTTCTCGGAAGGCTCAGCTCCTCTGCCTTGTCTCCTCTGAGTGGGATCCCAGTGATGGGGCTCAGGCAGTGCGGCCTGGACGGGGGGCTGTCCTGTTTGGACTCAAGTCCGAGGTAGAGCTCCTGAGAGCTGGTCCTTGAGGCTGAGAGATGATGTCAAGAGGTGAGGTCTGGACATCGTCCAGCCCACCTTCCAGCCCTATGGCTCAGGATTCTGGTCTGGAAGGGAGTTTTAATCTCATCGATTTTTAAAGGCTCCCAGGTGAAGGTTCAAGCTCTTCAGGAAAAGATCAGGAGGCGATTGCTACCCAGTATGAATGTCAAGGTATTTGTTTGGAGGGGAAAGAGACAGAATTTTACCTTGGGATTATAAAAGCAATAAAATGAGCTCTTTAAAACAAAAAACAGGGTCATACAATGAAGCTGTTGAGAATCAGCGTATTCTCTTCATAATATATCTTGGTCATCTTTCTCAGTACCCAAAAAGCTCTGTTCTCAACAGGGTTTGAAAGTCTCGGGGGATGCTTTGAGCATCACAGCAGTGGAAGGCACCTCAGGCAGCAAGTGGGTGAAGGGCAGCGATGCTGAACCCTGAAATGGGCAGAGCGCTTCTGCACAAGGAGTTGTCCCGCACCCACAGGACCTGGGAGCGTCTTGTGGGAATCTGTTCACAACTAACCGGGCCCAGAGCTTAGCACTCTGTTCATGTAAAGGCAACGTATCTTTTGCATGGTTTGATATACTTTGAGTTTAGGAAAGTTACATTGTCCATGAATTTCATTTAGGGCAGTAAAATGGGGTCTATTTATGATTTGTACAATATTTTTAAAAAGATGACATTGGACCAGACAGGGTCCAGAATTCCCATCACAGAATAAGTGCAGTCTTGGAAGGGCTGTTTAGCATTTTTAATGGAGATAATCAAAATGTATTAACCAACCTCCGCAGAGAGATATTTGGGTTGAATTCAGTTTTGCACAAAAATGCCTCTTGTACATTTACACTTGTCTTGCTGTAGGGTCCATTCCTAGATGTAGAATTGCTGGATCAAAATAAAGGAAGGCATTTTTTTTCATTTTAGTACGTGGCCAGATTGCCCTTAGAAGAGGTTTATACCCACTGACAGTATGTGAGAACACCCGTTTGCCCACATCCTGCTCAGAGCTTGTGATTACCAGCTGTTCAAATGCTTACCAATCTGAACAAGGGAGTGGGTAGGGGAATAATACCTTATTTTCATCCTCAACTTTATGATAACCAGTGAAGTGGTATGTGTTTTTCTATATATATTATGTTTCTTCTTCAGTTTTGTAGTTAAGGCAGGTCTTTTCTGGCCATGGGAAGACTGTGCCCATGTGAGGTCTCTTGGGGACTGAAATACGGGCGTATTTCTCTCTGATTGATGCTGTCTGCCTCCCCCAGAGGTTGTAGACACCTGGGAAATCACAGGGTGGGAGGAGCTGGCCTACACTGTCCCAGAAGCCCCTGGTCTGGACCTAACACTCCCTTTTGCTTTTGCAGGAAGCCTGGAAGCATGCAATTGAGAAGGCCAAGCACATGCCCGACCCTTGGGCCGAGTTCCACTTGGAGGACATTGCCACGGAATGTGCCACACGTCACAGGTCAGCCCCTTGTCTGCAGGTGCTGTATGACCTCAGTCCTTAAGGAGTCCTTGGGGATTAGGTCCTGCACTGCTTATAATCAGTGAGGCTTAAATAGCCTTATGGATCAAGGAAAAGGGAATATAATAATAATAGCAGCCAATATTTGAGTATTTATGTGTGCTTAAGACATGATACATTATCTCATTTAATCCTTACAGTGGTCCTATAAGGTGTGTATTTGACAGGCTAGGCTGAGTTATGCTGCAGTAACAAATACCCCGGGGCTTAATGCAACAAAAGTGCATTTCTTGCTCATACGAAGTTGAGTGAGAGTTAACTCTTCAGGGCAGCTCAGGGATCCAGGCTACTTTCATCTTGTGGCTCCATCATCTCAACATGTGACCCCTACAATTGCTATCAAAGGGACAGCAGACCAGCTTTTCAGTGCCTTGGCCCCAGGAAGATTCACAAAGTCAAGCCAAGAGGGTCCAGACTTCCTATTTGGAAAAGTAGAGGGAGGGAAGAGCATTTTCATGGGATTTCAGGAAGAATGAAAAACAACAAAACCCAGAAAACACCACCACCAATATAGTGACAAGGATGAGTGTGATGCTGCTGCTGAAGGCCCTTATTTATTGAATCTTCCATCTGCCAGGCACTGCTTAAGTACTCTATATGTATTTATTCATGTAAAAAAAAGGCCTGAAGTAGGAGTTGTGTCAAAGCATGTGAGACTTCTTTGAGAATTTGATGAGGCCATCTCAGAAAGTTGCACACATACGTCTAATTTGCTCATAATTTTAGAGGACTCATGGATCCACGGTGGAGCCTGCCCTGTGTCCTGTGACCTCTGTAGACCCCTCAGTTCTGACTCATCCAGGTCAATCCAGTCAGTGCCCTCAATTGCCCCAGGGGAGAGAGGTTTGAGCAGGGTCACTCAGATAGTTAAACTAACTTTCTGACTCTCAGTCCAGTGTCTTAGAATTAGTTAGGGCTCTGTTTCAAATGCAAGTGAAAGAAACCCAATTCACAGTGGCTTAAGCATAAAAAGGAATGATCGACTCATCTATGTGGGCTTCAGGTATGGCTACTTCCAGATGCTCCAAGGATGCTTTTGGCTTTGACCCCAGATGGACTTTCTTTTATCAGTAGCACAGATGACCCCTAGGGGCTGCATATTTTATCTACCCAATGGAAAAGTGTCTTCTCTTTTTCAAACTTTTTAAAACAAAAATTCCATATTTGAATCTTATTGGCCTGACTTTGGTTATATGCTCATCACTGAACCAGTCATTGTACCAGGAGCTTTGCTCTGATTGGACAGGTCTAGATTATATACTACGAGCCAGAAGGTGCTGGGGGATCAGCTCTACCCAGTCCGTATGTTCTGAGAATGGAGGATGGTGGCTCCCCAAGGAAAATTGGGGTGCTGTTCCCAGAAGAAGGGAGAGTGGATGCTAGGCAGGCAGAAACAGTGAGGTTAGCATTGTGGGGGCCCCTGCAGGCCAGGGTGTGGGCTCTATTCCTTCCTACCTGTAATTGCAGTGTGGTGGCTGATTGGTGACAGGTGGCCTCCAGGCTGAGGACACTGGGTCACAGAGGGAGGCCCCTGGGAAAGCAGGACCCACATGCTGGGCTGGCTCTGTGTGTCCCAGAGCTCCATGGGGGCCAGGAGCCATGGGCCAGGCCAAAGTGTGTGTATTTCCTAACCAAAGTGGTTGACTTCACTTGTCCTGGCTGCTGGTAGACGGTGGTCAGGCGTTGATGGCCAGAAACTCTAGAGATTTCTAAATCGGAGGCTTCCTCTTCCATTCCTGGTTTTTAAAGAGCTCTGCTGTAAGCTGGCCCTTTATCGGGGCAGATTTCCTGTTCATGTGTATTGTACCCAGGCTGGTTAAGAGCAAGGTTTTGGTTGAAACCAACCTGGGTTTGAATCTTGGCTCTCGAAGTTTATTTCATCTCTCTGAACCTCAGTTTCCCTGTCTGGAAAGTGGGCACAATATTTGTACCGATGTCATAGGGCTGAGCAAAGGTTGATAGAGGAGTTCCATGTAAGTGCCCAGCATGCAGTGAATGCTCAGTGAACTTGGTGCAGCTCTGTCCTTTACAACGTGACTGGCTGTGAGGACAAAAAAGTTTCTTCCAATATCACAAGTCTCTACCCTCCCCAACTTCTGGGCACCTCTCAGCTTTCAGTCTCTTTTGGAAGTGAAGCAAGATGATTCCTTTACCTCGGCCTCTACATAGTAATAATCATAATGATTGCTACTATTTATTGAGTACAGTGCTTGCCATGGCTGATTGCCAGCAAGTGTGTGGCTCTGGCGAACTTTCCTCTCCGCCCTCCTCGCCCCACCCCGGCCTGGGGCAGGTTACCTGCCAGGCCGCTGCTTGTTTTCCCTCGTAGAGACTTCAGGCTCTGAGAAGGCTATGCTCATGAACTAGGAGGTTCTGGAGTCTGTCCACACTGAGGATGAGCCAGGGAGGCATCTGTTAGAATTAAGAACACCTCAGCCCTGGGGGAGATTTTAAATTTGAGAGATTTCCTGAGCTGAGGAGCTTTCTACCAGGCAAACCTGTTTCAGGCCCAGCCAGGCCCAGGGGCAGATTTGCGCTGGGAGAGAGGATTCCTGGGAAAGGAGAGGTGGAAATGTTCTGGAACCCTCTCCATCCCTCTCTGCCTTGGGTTTGTATCCAGTAACTCCTTTCCTGGCTGGACTCAGAGGCAGGACCCTCCTCCACCCCTGCCTGCACTGGGACAGTCTTTAGGAGACACCCAGCTTCCTGGGCTGGGCTCCCACTGGCAAGACCAAGGGTACTGCCACCTCCCATCCTGGGACACGCCATTCATTATGTAGACCAGTTATATAAGGATATTTATTTCTCCAGTTGTTCATCCAGCAAGTACTTAGTAAGCTTCCATAGTAGCAAGCCCTGCAGTGAACAAGACAGACGTGGCTTGTCTTTGTGGAATTACCGTCCAGTGGGGGAGCCAGATAGGGGACAAGCCTACCCACAACGCAGCAGTACGTGCTGGGGGACATGGTGGAGAGGGAACACCTGGCTTTGAGGAAGGGAACGGAGGCCAGTGTGGCAGGAGGGCCTGGGAGGGAGGGAGTGTGTCCACAAACCCAACCCTGGAGGTCAGCAGGGCCTGTGGGTAGACAGTGGACTTGACCCTGAGGGCAGCAGGGAGCCCAGAAAGTCTTTTGCCTTTAGCCAGTGAGTGACAGGATCAGGTAATGGACAGTGTGCCCTGGGGTGGGTTCTGGTCTCTGCAGGTACAATGCTGTCACCGGGGAGTGGCTGCAAGATGAAGTTCTGATCAAGATGGCGTCTCAGGTGAGCAGAGCCTCGAGCCCAGGGCTGAGAGGGGATTTCTCTAGAAAGCACTTCAACAACTTCAGTGCCTGCTCCCTTTCCTCCACACCCACTTTATTTTATTTTTTAACTTTGGAGGAGTCTTTGTAGTATCGTCTACTTATTTTATTTTTTATAACAGTTTTATTGGGATATAATTCACACACCATACCACCTACACATTTAACGTGTACAGTTCAGTGTTTTTTAGTGTAGTCAGAGTTGTGCGAACATCACCACGATTGATTCCAGAACATTTTCACCATGTCTAGAAGAAATTGTCTACATACCCATTAGCAGTCAGTAGCCAGTTCCCTCATCTGCCCCAAGCCCTAGGCAACCACTAATTTGCCTTCTGTCTCTATAGATTTGCCTGTTCTGGATGTTTTGTATATTCATCGTATATCAAAAGATTCTTCTTGGCACTCTTGTCAAAAATCAGTGAACCATAAATGTGTGTATCAGTTTTTAAAAATTGCAGGTTAGCACCTATTACTGAATTGTTAAATGAACTCAGTGGGTTGCAAGCAGCTTCTGAAAAAAAGGTATTGACTAGAAAATAGAGCACGTCCTGCAGAGTAAGGGGAAGGAACGATTTGTGAAGCTTTTTTTTAGTGTATCACACACACAGAAAAGTGTACAGCTTGGTGAGTTTCACCAAGTGAGCACACCATGTAACCAGCATCCAGGTCAAGACACAGGACACGACTAGCACCCCGAGAAGTCCCTCTCAGCCGCAGTCACTACTCCTTAACCCCCAGGGGTAAGCGCCACCCTGAATTCTATTCTACCCAAGGTCAATTTTGCCTTTTTTTGTGTTCGATATAAATGGAGCCACACAGTATAAATTCAAGTATGGCTTCTTTTGCTCAATGTTTTGTCGATGAGATTTGCACATGTTTTTGCTAGAACTCGAATTTGTTCATTTATCATTGCTGTATAGTATTTCATCAAGTGAATAGACCTAACTGATTGATCCATTCTACTCTTGATGGACATTTAGGTCGTTTTGCTTTTTTTCTACGGACACTGCCCCACACACACACACATCGACCCTGTCATATCTTCACCCCCTGGGGGTTCTTCCCCTCAGTGAGGGTTGGGGATGGAGTGATCCCATCAGTCCTGCAGCCTCCAGGCTGGAAGTTCGACGAGGCCTTGGTGCTGGAGAATATGAGGGGAGGCCCAAGGATTTTAGGGTTGAGATGAGATCCAGGGCATCCATTTGGTGGGTGACGTCCAAGGGGAAAATCTCCTGGCTCAGGGTAGCTTCTGGCTGGGTGTGGGACTGATAACCTGCTGTGTGATGTCTTTCAGCCCTTTGGCCGAGGAGCAATGAGAGAGTGCTTCAGGACGTAAGTGACTCAGCCTGGCTTTGGGGCCCTGCCAAGACTCCTCAAGCTCCTGAGAGGAGGGACATTGTAACATTTCTGGTCTAGAAATGGAGACGGTGGCTTCTTTTCTTACAGCCCAAGGTCTTTTCCATCTGGTCTCCCTGGGAGCACACATTGGGCCCAGCTGTGGGGATGAGCTCAGGAAGAACAGGGAGTATGTCCCTTAAGCCCCCTTCCCGGCCCATTTGAAAGGTGCCGTCGGGTGGTGAAGCCCCTCCCACCTCTTGCATTTTGTTCCTGGCTCCAGCCAGCCACATCAGGCAGGGTCTCCCCATCCTGAGGACCGGGACTGGATCCCTGGCGAGCCCCAGGGTGCCCAGGCAGACCCCCTGACCCCTCTCCCCCCAGGAAGAAGCTCTCCAACTTCCTGCACACCCAGCAGTGGAAGGGGGCCTCCAACTACGTGGCAAAGCGCTACATCGAGTCCGTGGACAGAGACGTGTACTTTGAGGACGTGCGTCTGCAGATGGAGGCCAAGCTCTGGGGAGAGGAGTATAATCGGCACAAGCCCCCCAAACAGGTGTGTGGGACCTCTGCCTGCCGCCCTCCCACACGGGGCATCGGGGACGTGCCTGGAGGTGAGGGCGGCGATGGTGATGCTCACGGGCTCCCTTCTTCACTGTCTGTGCAGCAGTTCATAACAACCATCATTTACTGAGCCCGATAACTCAAGTTTGCTTATTCCTAAAAACAGCTCTGAGCTTGTTTGATGTTGGAGTGTTTTTTATTCCATTTACAGATGGGATCTATTATTAGGATTTTTCTTTGTGAATGACAGAGACCCACTTAAATGAGCTTAATCCAAAAAGGGAATTTATTGCCTCCTGTAACTGAGAAACAGAGCTGGCTATAAGCACAGCTGATCCAGGGCCAGACTGAGGCTGTTGGGGATCTTCCTCCAGCTCTAGCCTCAACGTTCTTCTGTGCTGGCATCACTCTCGGGCAGCTTTTCGACTAGCAGTGAAATGTCCGCCCCAGGAGCTGCAGGCTTGCTTTCTATTTCTCAGCAACCCTAATGGAATGACACCTGTTTTCCTTCAAGTTCCAATAAAAGTCCCAGAACTGGGTTTCATTGGCTCTGATGAGGTCAGGTGCCTGTCACTGAGCCAGTCATGATGATCAGGGGGCAGGAATGTACAGATTGGGCAGACTTGAGCCTTGTACTCACCCTTTAGAACCAGGAGTATGGGTCCTTCCACCTGGACTACGTGGGCTGAGATTGGTGGCTCCCAAGAAAAAGCAGGAGAGGGGATGGGGAATGGAAACCTAATCTGCCCCTGGGGAATCCAGGGCACAGAGGGGTTAAGTGTCTTGCACGAATTGGCAGGGTAGAGCCGGGGTCAAATCCAGACTTTCCCAGCCCCTGCTTTTGGCACCTTCACTTGAGCCCCCAGGGTAATGGTGACCTGAGGCCAAGCAGAATCTCCTGATACCTGCGGGCATTTGAGGAAATGGCACTGTGGGCCTCTACCCTAGCTAAATTCACAGCTCAGCTTTCCTTCTGTTTTGCCCCTGCTAGATATATGAC